GAGAGGGAGAGGGAGAGGGAGAGGGAGGGGGAGGGGGAGAGGGAGACGGAGGGGGAGAGGGAGAGGGAGAGGGAGAGGGAGAGGGAGAGGGAGAGGGAGGGGGAGGTCCAGAAGCGTGTTGGGAGGGCTCTAGTCGTAGCCCACGTCGTAGAAGCCGCGGAGGGGGTCGGGGAGCAGCGGCGCGAGGAGGAGCTGCCTAGTACCACACCCCCACCGCCTCGAATCCAGCCTGAGTTCCAGTCCCGTGGGCCGTGCGGTAGCCACGCGCTTGAGCGAGAAGGACCAGGCCATCATCACAGACACGCCCAGCGCGTGCGAGACGAGAGGCCACGCCGCCTCCCGCACCTCGGACAGAAGGACGCGGCCGGACGCGGGACCGCCACCGCCGCCGCCTCCACCGCCGCCGCCGCCGCCGCCGCCGCCGCCTCCACCGCCGCCGCCTCCGCCGCCTCTACCGCCGCCGCCGCCGCCTCCGCCGCCGCCGCCTCCGCCGCCTCTACCGCCGCCGCCGCCGCCGCCGCCGCCACCGGAGGGTGTGGCTCGCCATGAGGTTCGCACGATGGAGAGGCTCGCGAGGAGCAGCGCCGCCACCAGCGTCTGCCCCGCCGCGTAGATGAGCCTCGCCCACGACGCGCCTCCGAGCCGCTCGAGCAGAGAGACCGACACGTCGCCAAACGACCAGCCGACGCACATGCCGGCCATCTCGGGGACAGAGCCGAGCCGCGGCCAGCGCCGCTCGTAGAGCAGGGCCACCCGCGCCACGCTCGCCGCCAGGCACAGCAGCCCGAGTGCAAAGAGCACTTGCACGCCGAGCGACGCGGGAGCGGTGCACGGGATGCGCTCGCGGTGCAAGTTGGAGCAGTAAGGAAGCGGCTGCAGCCGTAGGACGTAGATGGCGAGCAGGTCCTTCCATTGCTTGGACAGGACGAAGGTCACGATGGCCTGCACGTACCGCCGCACATCCGGATCGGAGAATAGGAGGCGCAGAGAGTGGCTCGCCAGCGGCGGCGGCCGAGGTGGCGCACAAGAAGAGGAGGAGGAGGAGGAGGCGAGGCCCGGCGCCGCCGCCGCCGAGAAGGGCGCGGGCGCGTCCGCCGCGACCATCAACGGGATGCTGCTCATTGCTTGGAGAGAGGGCGCGGAGATGAGGCCCGGAGACGAGAGACGAGGAGAGTAGGACGCTGCCAGTCACCAGCTAAGAATACAAGTTCGCTCACTTAATGATTTTCGACCGACCGCAGGGAAACGCAGGGGCGCCCCCCCCCGACCGAGCTGCGAAACAACGGCGTCCACACCGGCCGCCGCTCGAGAAGCCCCAAAATTTTCTTCGGCGCTGCGCGCCGTTGCAGTCGTAGCTGTAGTCGAGTGTAGGTACACGTATGTTGCAGCCCAGCTATCGTGCCGCTAAAAGGTCCATGTGGCTAGAAAATATGCTGCCGGTCGCCTCGAAAGCGCCCGCCGGTGTGTGTCCAAAGATGTAGCGCTACAAGTTTGGGGACGCATCCGACACAAGGTTTTCGCGCTTCTATGCTGGCCAACGGTGATGACGCCGTCGCGTCACCGACGGCTCGTGCTTGCGTATGATAGCAACCCCTCGTCCGACGGCAGCGTCCTCGTGTCCGCCACTCCGCCCGCGCGGCATCATTACTGTCCGCCTACACCACTGCGGCCGCGGCCGCACCCGCGGTGGCAAGGGTTTACACGCGCCCCGGCGCAGGTGCAGCAGCAGCCAGAGCACGTCTTGGCGTATACGAATGAATATCTCCCGATGCGTTCCGGGCCGCGAGCGGCCGAGGGGGTGCATTGTACCCACTCGCACGCCGGCACGAGCGCGGCGCCGCAGTGGGGCAAACGGGGCATCTGGGGCTAGCTCATCTATGAGCATCATCTCTGCCGCTTCTCGCCATCCCCGAGGAGCAGCGCGCCCGAAGCAGGTGAGTCACGGCCGCTGTCCAGCGAGCGCGGCGGCGGGCCTGAGGGAACCTCAAGGAGTAAATAGAAGTTCGAGATTCGAATCCTATTTGACAAAACCGGGAGCGTGAGCTGGAATTGACCGGAATCCAAAAAAATCCCCCCAAAATTTCTCTTCGGCGCTTGAGCGCCCAACAAAGCTGGTGGCCGAACCCCAACCGCCGGCCGAAAAAGCCGCGTCCAGCCCAAACTGTGGCCGGCCCAAAATTATTAAATGTGCGCCTCTTGTCCCGGCCGGTGTTGTTCCAATCATCGCGGCAAAGCCAAACCGCCAATCTGTCGGCAGTGCGCATCAACGTCCCAACGCAACTCGGGCATCTTGGTTGTTATAAAAAGAAAACCCGTGCGGATCGCCAACAACACCAACCGCAACACGATACACAGCTGCGCTCACAGCTACGCCACAGCAGGATACCACAACCATGTCGGTCCCCTTGTCGGCCCCCTGCACCGAGTTGGCGGGAGCGGCGTACTGCAAGACCCACGTCGCCCTCTGCGCCACCCAGATGTGCCCTTCGTGCGCGCTCTCGGGCATTTGCGATTTCACATGCGACTTCTGCGCTGATCCGCTGCCTCCGCCCTGGCCTCCGCCGCCGCCGCAATCGCCCTTTGACGCTGTAGCGTTCTTCTTCATCGACCCACCATCGCCGCCACCTCCGCTTCATCCGCCCTTGCTGCCGCCGCCACCCTCGCCGCCACCGCCCCTGCCGCCGCCTCCTTCGCCGCCACCGCCCTTGCTGCCCCCGCCCTCGCCGCCTCCACCACCTTCGCCGTCGTCGCCGCCCCCGGTATCGCCACCTTCGCCGCCGTCGCCGCCGTCGCCGCCGCCGCCCTCACCGCCGCTGCCGCCACCGCCCCTGTCGCCGCCGCCGTCACAACCTCCACCGCCTCCGCCCTCAACGCCACCGCGGGCGCCGCCGCCGCACCCGTGGCCGCCTCACCCGCGGCCACCGCCTCCGCCCCCGCCCCCGCCGCAAACTCCGCCTCCTCTGCCTCCTCTTCCGCCCCCGCCTCCTCGCCCGCCCAACCCGCCGTCTCTGCCGCCCTCGCCGCCCTCGCCGCCCTCGCAGCCGCCCTCCTACCCGCCGGGCTTCGCTCCGAACCCACCGCCGCCGATCCCGCCCTATCCGCCCTTACCACCCCACCTGCCACCCCCGCCGCCAGCGGCGCCGGCGCCAACATCCCATGATGCTCTGCGCGCGGAGACAGAGAACGTTCGGTACTCAGGCAAGAAGTTGTGCAGGGAGAAGCTCCGGTACCGAGGA